TATTAAATGTATATAATTTGTGAAGGATGTGTGTGTGTGTGTGCGTGTGCGCGCGCGCGCGTGTGTGTGTGTGTGTGTGTGTGTAGATTGTCATAATCGAAAATATGCGATTTTAGGCCTTTTACAAATTTATATCTCTTTTGTCTTAAGTTTATATTTTCTTTTTGAGACACTTGTTCTTATGATCTTTTCATTAATTGTTTTAAACATTTTGAAATATTCAATGAGACAGTAGAGGTACATTTGCAAAACACCATTCGAGTGGTTCCGTGTATCATTTTATCCTTGTTTAACATTCGGTGAATAACAAAAATAAAATATACAGGGGCACTTGAATGATGTTCCCAAAGGTAGCCTAGTTAGGCGACATGTCCATGTCCTTAACAATACTTTCCACTTTATTGGTCAAACTGTCCAGCCTAGTGCTGATGTTGTACGAGCATCTCTTCAATTCGGCTGCCAGCTCATTTAGCTGTTGCTGATTGCTCTCGTTGCTGTACATCCTACTGAGTCTTGTATGGCTCGAATCCACCGTGGTATTCGCATTTCGTGGTAACGGTGGCACACTGCCTCTGTATGTTGTCCGCCGCGTTTTTCTCTCACTAACCAAGCGATATATTGCTCGGATGAGATCTCGCGGTAAACGTTTTTCACGTGGATCATTCGGTCGAATGTGCAAGGCGCAATGATACGGTGGATGTAATAGCAGAGCGCCTCTTCTGCATGCCTGTATTACGCTCCATGCCGGAGCCCGATCCAGAAGTTTGGAGAACAGCATATTCTCGAGATGAGCCACTAACTCGGCACGACGCACTAGTCTATCAAGACCAGCGCATCTGCGCAGTTCTTGAATATCCGATACGGCTAGACCGACCATCAGATTCGTCAGGATCACTGTCACTAGAATAACGAAGCTGAGAAGCATCAAGTGGGCTGTACCAGGATATTGGAGCGGCGCTTTTTCGTCGAAGAAGACATCCTCGAACTCGAGCTCGCCCGACATCATGATCATTGTCTTGAGTAGACTGACCAATGGATCAGCGAAGGCCTTGTAGTTCTTGTGTAGCACGCTAAAGCCAAGGGAGAAGCCGACTATGAGGCAAATGTAGGCTGCGAGAAACTTGAAGAAGTTGATGGACACTTGAGTGAACATCTGTACATAGATGCCGAACATAGGAAAGCGACCGACCACTATCATTAATTCGATCCAAACCAGCAGGACACCCAGAGCGGCAACGTGATGCTGCCAAGTATAGGCTGACGGAATCAGGATAATGCCGGATGCCATGATCACGCTCCACTGCAGCCAATTCTCCCAACGTTTGGCGTAGCAATAGATACCATGAGCAACTTGAAAAAATTCCTTGCCTGCAAGCACACAGGTGAAGCCCAGTACTGGCCAGAAAAGGACATTACTGAGCCGTTTCACGTGCCAGAGATACGTTGCTCCAACATAACCAGTGAAGAGGGCAACGAAGATCGAGTGAAACATCAGGCTGAGTAAGAAGAACTTGCGGATACGCAGCCACTTGAGGTAAAGGAAACTCTCACACAACGGATGCTTCAGCACGTGACCCTGACCAACTTCTACCAGGCAGAGCATCAGATCCGTCTCACCACGACCGCCTGGCACCAACGGCCGGAAGTCCAGTCGCAACTCGCAGTCTACGTCGCCCAGTTCATGATCGTGCAGCGAAATCGCCTGATCGAAGCGTGCCACAAAGAGTGGTAATACATCTGGGGTGCGACGTATAATAAAGCTAAGAGCTGTAACGCCACCCTTGGTGCGCGCCGTCATATCGGCGCCCTTCGATAGTAGCAGCATCACCGTGGGCGAGCTCTCATTCAAGGCCGCGATGTGCAATGGCGTATAGCCGAATTTGTCCGCCTTGTTGACCGAAGCGCCTGCCTTTTAAAGGAAAAAAAATCTTATTGTATCTCTCTGTGTTGTTAGAAAAATCTTGCTCAATCTGGAAATAGTCATCTGATTTTTTAATCTCCATTTTTAATATTCATATATATCTAGACAAAATAATATTTTACATTTTTTCGTTGCTGGGGTAAAAACATCCTAGGTGACTATTTCTGAAGTATAATATATGAGCGAACTACGAACCTGTATTAAAGTCTTGACCAGTTCTCCGCTCCTCAAGGCTTTTGCAACTGCAGCATGTAGAGGAGTTCGCCCATCGTCGTCCTCCTCGTTGACTTTTGCACCAGCATTTATTAATACATTTAACGTTTCTATAGATTGTGCAAGCGCTGCAAGATGCATCGCCGTCTGACCACGTGAGTTCTTCGCTTCCCAGGCCGCACCAGCATTTAGCAACAGCTTAGTACACTCCACGCTTCCCTCTTCGGCTGCCAGATGCAGAGGTGTCGATCTCGCGACTCCCAGTTGCACTCTCACATCCGCTCCATGATTCAATAGTAATTTGGTGCAACGCACATTGCCTAAACTAGTCGCCACGTGCAGAGGTGTCTCTGTGTAAACCTGTCTCAACAAATCATATTAATTCACTGAAGAAATCTTCACTTGAATCTCGAAGAGACGCGTTAATTTGATGGGAAAATAATATCTTATTTATAATCGACGTTAAAGATTTTAGGAGACGTTACTTTCTGCATATATTATCAAATTTCAACTTATTAGATTAAATTTCTCTTAAAAGATTTCTGTTTATAAGCATCACTTCCCCACCAAATTCATGTTTAAATTGGTCGTGGTAAAGGAGCACCTGTGGATTATTGGGACAAGCACCTGCTTGCAGTAGAGCCTCGACACAATCTCCGGCGTTGTTTAACACGGCATAATGAAGCGGGCTTTTACCGGATAATCCGGCGTCTACATTTGCGCCCGATTTGATCAGAGATTTGACGGTAGCGACGCAACTCGCCGCTGCAGCACAATGTAACGGGGTGCATTTCTTTCCGAGATCCCATTTGCACGGATCAGCACCGTGTTTCAGTAACTGCTCCACAAGTTTTACGGACGTGGCACAAGCTGCCAGATGCAATGGTGTTCTAGGATATAAAGTTTTTGAGAATTAGTTGAAGCTATAACGCTTAATTGATTAGAGATATCTTGTGGTTTGCTGTGATGGAATCAGATATATAATGAATAACATGATTCTGGATAGTGATTTTGTCCATAGCAAATTATAATTTTATATACATAGATACCTTCCATCGCAGTCACTCGTAGAAACTGGCGCGCCTTTGTCTAGTAAAGCCTTGGCAATCTCCACGTGACCCAACCAGCTAGAAATCAACAGACACGTGTCTGGCCATCCTGCAAGTAACTGACCCGGAGTCGCGGCAGCTGCTGCTCCATTTTCGCTATCTAGTACAGCCTTTCGCATAAATCTGTAAACGTGGATAAGTTTATTCTTATTTCTCACTTTTATCTTGCTGTAATATTGAACTGTAAATGTGCAATTACTATTGCCATTACCCGTTCGCAAACGTAGGCAGTGTGATCTTTCGATGATTGCAGTCCATAATTTCGTTGAGAGTCAAGCATTGGAATTCCTCCAAAGCCTTTTGCAGAGTGTCATTTTGAAGAGTAGGGATCAGGGAAAGAGCAGCTTTGCCCCCTGGAAGATTCGATAGTGCTATTTCGACTTCCTCCTTGCTCCAGAGTTGCTCCTGCGTCATCGGCGTTGATATGTGACACGTGACAGAATCCAAGCTGTTCTCGGAGGAGATACTGCCACTATCAATCTCACTCATCCAAATATCGTCGAGTTCTTCCTAAATTCAGCACACGAACGTTACGGAAACATCGGAAAGTCATCGATAATTTATTACATTTTTTTCACTGACCTTATTGCTGATCACAATAGACGGCATTCCGTTATTGGTAGCTTCTATTCTCGGCGCCTCTCGCGTCAAATGACTGCCGGAGAGTCTTTCAAAAAAGTTCTTCTTACCAAGAATCGACATAATCATGTCCTTCTTTAGATTCTTAAAGAAATTTCTCTAACTCTACATAAATGATTACTATAGACATTTTGTTAGTGTAATCATGTAGCGTATAAAGAATGGAAAGTTTCTTCTCTTTAACTAAGTGTCATTCTTGTGGCTACGCAATGATAACAGCACACATTACAGTACATGCGTACAATGATACGTTTATCACGATTAGGTCGATGATGTTTTCAATCAAACAAGTATTAACAAGATGATTAATATAAATATCAGTAAAAAATCTCATTAGATCAGTCGTTTGATGAACAGTCGTCTTGACATTGTAGAATGGATAGTTTTTTCAATGCGCCTTCATCGTCTCTCAAAACTCTAGCTCTCACTCGCTAATACTGAACACTTATTCGACTATTCCGGATCTCTGTATATCTCAGGATACCCACATGTGTTTATAAAACAGTGTTATATATTTAGCTTCTATTAATCTCTCATGGTTCTCCCTCGCTCCTTGCGTAAATCCGGCATATTTCAATGACAAAAAAGGAAAAGAAAAAAATTCCCGACCGCAAACTCCTTCCCTATCATTCTTTCTCAGCACTATGACGGAAATGATTGTATTATCAATTAAGTCCAGTCATTTTACTCGTAAATACTTTCAGCAGAATTCAGTCGATGTGTCAACCAATATCATTTAACAAAATTATTATAATACTTTTTTTTCTTACAATTAATTTTTAATTAAGATTTGAGAGAGTATATTTTAACAACTTCTTTATTATAATTTAACATAAATGACGATTACAGACGTTTTTTGTAATTATTTCGATTTGCAAAGAAAATTAAAAAAATATAAGCAGATTGAAGAAAATAAATATATAATATAAAAAGTATATTATTTTTTGTAGAAACAACTAATATTATAATTTGTTTTAAATATTATAATTGTGAAGTTTTATAAATGCGACTTTCTGAAATATTGGACTGTTAAGTATATTAGAATGTAAATATAATAATATTTTTTGCGGACACGTCTGCAGATTTATGTATAAACGAAGTAACATTTACGATGGCAAATTCTAGTATAAGAAATTCTAGTATAAGACGTTAACCATCCTGCGCTGAGATAATCTCTGATGATCTCCGCTGAAATCTGAAACAGAACTGACGTTATTTTCGTACATGCTTGTAAATTTTCGACACGCTTGACTGTCGCGACGCGCCAATTATTCGCACTATCTTCGTCCTAATTCAATAATTCCCCTTATAACAACACTTATAATTTTACTTTTAAAATATTATTACCGTCAAGCACAAGGAGTCAGAATAAATAATGTGTTCCAGGTGGGTGCCGATGGTGTTAATTCCCTGGTGAGGAAGGCGATGGGTGTGATTTATCTCAACTGGCAATACAATCAATTGGGCATCGTTGCGACTGTCAAGCTGTCTGAGGTAATTCTCTCGAAAATATGTAATACGTACATAAAACAAACAAGAGATACAGCTGTTTCTCACCTTTAAGAAGATATCTATGAGCTGTTGAGATATAACACATGTCGTTAATCGATTTCAGCCCACGGAGAACATCGTTGCTTGGCAAAGATTTCTTCCAACGGGACCCATCGCATTGCTTCCGGTAATTTGTCAGTTTTCGTATTTCTATTAATTCGTTTCTTCGCGTGAACAACGTCAATGTCTAAAATACTCTTAAAGACTAATGCCTGGAAAAATGAAAATACAATCAAATCAAATGAAATGTAACATTATTCTGTGTTATTCAAGAATAATTTCAATAATTAATAAATTTAGAAAATGAATATATGCAATGTTTGACACGTTAAGACAGACATTTTAAGTAATTTTAATCGAACGAATTTGAGGACAAAAAGAAAATTAATAGATCGATTCAATTAGATCATTCTGTATTACTATTTCTGCTAATTTGCTAATCTGCCTGTGCCTTACAAACCTCACGTTTGTAACAAGTTGAGAACAAGTTCTCATGTATAATCCTTTTCTTCTTTTCTGCTCTCCTCCGCCGTTTTCTCTGGTGTACTCCAGGATTCCATTCTAAGTTCTTTACTTTTTAGTATTTTTGTCTTTGATTTGTCTAATGTTTCTCTGTCCTCCGAGCTCTTTATGTATGCAGATGTAATTCTTCTCAAATCCTTTCATATGCTCCTTGATGGAGCAGCTTGTTCTATTTTAAATAAAGATCTAAAATCTATTGCCAAATAGTCCACTCATAATGCGCTGCATCTAAATCCTTCTAAATCATCCTTGCTAATTATCAATTCCTCAACATTATTATCCTGTATTCAATCCTTCTATTGCTCTTAACTTTGTTCCTCGCTGCTCCTCTATTAAGATTCTTGGTGTCTCTTGTGTTGACTCTTCATGGACATTTAAGTCACACATAGCTGTCAAGTGTAGAGCCACTTACGCCCGTCTATATTTTCTTTATCCCCTTCATCCTTTCCTGCTCTCTCTCTTTTAATTACTCGTTATTTCTTTATTTGATTACGCTGATGTCGTCTATATTCCAACTCTTAATCTAACTGCTAAATCGTATATAACGTATCCAAAATTCTTGCCTCCGCTTCTCTTATTGCGTTCATAAATATGACCTCATACATCGTTCCATTAAGTTCCGTGTGCCACTTTCTTCTACACCTCAGTCAAATATTTCAATTCTCTTCCTATATCAATAAAAACTCTCTCTTCTCTCTCTCTCTCTCTCTCTCTCTCTCTCTCTCTCTCTCTCTCTCTCTCTCTCCCCTCCTTTCATTTTTCACTCTTCATTGGGTCACTCACAATTTTAAGCGGGACTAATGTAACGGGTGTGTGTATATGATTATAACTATTGCTTCGCCACTATTGCATTTTTGTCTTAATCCTGGTTTTTTGTTGCTGGTAGGTTTTGTAACAGCAGTTTTGCTGAGCCATTGCAAGCTACTATTGTAGCAAGTATTCTTTCTATTGTATCTTGTATGTCTATTATTCTGTCAATACAGTCTTTTTATAGAGCTTTGTAATAAACTAAAATAATTAAATTAATTATTTCTATATATTACTGTTCTCTAATAGTTGACAGATTCTCTCAGTTCACTCGTATGGTCCGTAACGAAAGAGAAAGCAAAGGAACTATTGAAAATCTCGGAGGAAGAATTTGTCGACAGAATAAATGAGGCGCTGTGGCGAATTTATCCGAAGAGCAGCATCGTCGAGAGCGGGATGCAAGGATTCCACTGGTTGCTTACAAGACTTGCCTTAAAGACTAATACATCCAAGCAAATGCCACCTTCCGTGGAGGCAATTGTCGAGGGATCGCGGGGAGCATTTCCCTTAGGTTTCGGTCATGCCTCGTCTTATGCTCAGTCAGGCGCGGTGTTGATCGGGTAAGAAAACTTTGTCACGGAGAAAATTTTGTCCAACTGTATAATTTGTCTTCAAACTGAAATTTTTATATTGAGATTTTAATTATGTATAGATTATTTTTTTAAATATTCTACGTGTATTTTTAAAGGGATGCTGCACATCGAGTCCATCCTTTGGCAGGTCAAGGTGTGAATCTAGGTTTCGGCGATGTTACAGAGCTGACGAAAATCCTCGCCGAGGCCAACGTGAACGGCAGTCATCTCAATGATATGTACTATTTGCGGACATACGAGACACTGAGGCAACGTCACAATGTACCGATGATGCTCGCCATCGATGGACTTCATCGGTTCTATCAACACACTGCGACACCCATTGTTCTTGGTAGAAGTCTAGGCTTGCAATTAGTAGACGCTTTCCCGCCAATCAAGGTAAAAAGAATATCGCACTGACATATATTTTTTTTAAGAAAGAAGTATTATTTCTTAGTCGGTATTAATCAAAATGAGATTTTTTTTTTTAGAAACTTTTAATGCAACGGGCTGCAGGAAATAGTATGTTTAACAAATCCTTATCATACTGGGATGAGACTAGAATGTACAGAATGTAAATAGTGTAAAGAATGATTAATTTATTCTGTATTATACATATATATCGTCAAAACCAGAAGTGGTAAATAGGGTACGATTAACGCGATTACTACAATGCTTTGAAGCATTTTTTAGTTGGTCAATTTGTAAAATTCTTTCTTCTAATTAGTCCATCAAATGCTTCAAAGCATTTGTAGTAAGACTTTGATCACCGCCATAGTTCCAGATCCGTAATTAGTTTATGAACGCTCCGAGATAATTATATTAAATTTTTTTTAGTTTTAGATATATGGATTTTCTGGCAATCTCCACATGCAACCTTTTTTCCTTTAGAGGAAACATATTTGTGTTTTCTCTAAAACACATTTAAGTTTCTTGTTAACATATTTGTACGCATATACAGGGTTTGCCAAGGATGTGGAAATTCTGTAATAATTTTTGTAAAAAAAGAGAATACCAGAAAACGGTGAAACACATACTCCAATATTTCAAAAAAAAAGGTACCTTTTGCACGAGTGCTGATTAATCATCTTTTCTAAGTGCGCGAGGGTGGAAGAGGTGATGAAAATTTTAAATGGCATTAGGAGTCGTGGAGGCTTATTTGAAAGGCTTTTTGATGGCGATCAAGATGTTGAAAATTTTAAGTCTGTACTAACGATCCAAAATAACAGCTAAAAGTGAAAATTTTCATGCATTTAACATTACTCATGATCGTCTCTCCTCACGCACCTGTGGGTGATGGTTAAGCATATTAAAAAGTGGTTTTTTTGGAACATCAAAACACGTGTTTCGAAACTTTTCAACATCTTTATTTTTATACAAATTTTATACAAATTAGAGTTTCTATACTCTCTTTGAGAAACTATATATTTCTTCTTCTTCTTTTTCTAGTCAGTTTCCAATTTCATTTGTAGAAATCGAATATCACAACTTCCAAGGAAACTATATATTTATATACATACATTCTATGTTGTTGCCTCTATGATTCTTTTGGTAAAACCCCTAGTTGTTTTGTTATATTAATATGGAGATAAACTGTGCCAATAATTGGATTAAATGAAATACAGAAAACGATGTAATTATGTGCAATTGTGTACATTATATATGTAATTATACGTTATTATTTTATTATTCTCATTGTACTTATATATGAAATGCATTTTGTAATATATTCTTTAAGATTTTCAATAAAACTTAAGTGTGTTCCGAATTTCGCATGAAACGCATGAGACTGCACAGAAAGTTGTTTCAAATTAACTATTACACGCTTTGAAAGCGTTTCGAAAGTGCTACGAATTCTCCAGATTGTACTAATTATACTGAAATCTTAATACTCTTCCCAGCGCATTGACTTCTTCTCTTTTGACTTGAGACAGTTGATACGTCTGATGCGTTTATGCAGTATATGCGCTTCATGTGTAATTCAGAACGAATATTCGTGATACTGATCCTTAAATAAATCGGGAATCTTTCTAAAAACTCTTACGAAAAGAAAAACGAATATTATATTATGGCGAAGAGAAAGTCGAAACAAATAACTTGAAGCCTTGAAAGTTATTTATTTTATATTATAATTAGTTTATTTTATCTTAATTAATTACGAGTTTTTTAATTTGAAAATCAATCTTTTCAAAGTCTAATGTTATGTTATTATATTAAATACTTTTAATGAACAATTAAAAATGTGTTATAAAATAATATAATATTATTATTATAATATATATTATATTATTATATATATTGTATAGTATTGTAATATAATAATTTGAAAAATATTTTTAATTCTTAATACAATATTTTTATAATTTGCAATTAATGATATTTGAATGATGTTTCAACATAATAACAAAATTATGAAAAAACTATAGATTATCCTAAATTATATTTAAAAATAATACGATAAATTTGGAGACAATTTGTGACCTTATTATTTATGTTTTGTATTCTTAAATCCCATTCCTAAAAGTTAAACAAAATATATTTATTTGTTCCGTATCTTTATAACTAATCAATGAATCGCAACCGCCCATTTTTAATTAACATTACTAATCCACTACAGTCCACTCAGCCCACAGCTTATATAGAAAACCGTTCCGAATTCACAAGCGCTTCACGAGTGTTATACGTGCATTGAAAAAATGAAATGATTTCGAAACGTTGCGCATCAGTATTGCATTTCACGCGTTTCATTCGTAAGTCGGAACGCACTCCATGTATGAAACGGAATCAAACGGAATGCATCTTATGCACCTCTAGGGTATGGTCAACGCGATTGCAAATGTTTTGAAGCGTTTTTTAATTGGTTGTAAAATTCTTTCTTCTAATTGGTCCATCAAACGCTTCAAATCATTTGTGGCGAGACTTTGGCCATAGCCCGAATAACACGCAGTGACACGTCTCGTCCACGTGCTTGAACTGAAAACCGACAGATTCAAATTGATCAAACTATTTAGCGACCGTTTCTAAAAGTATCGTGTGTTTATAACACACATACAATTGGCACAGAATTGTTGACAAGACTTGTTCTTGTCTATGTAGAATACAAACGAGGTTAGTTTAACCACTTTCTAAAGTTCATACTCCTCACTACTCCTCAGTTTGTCGGATTCGATGCCATGGAACGCTCTCGTATCACGCGAATTTATGAGGATTTTTAATCATCACTTTAATAGGTTAGTGCAATTTTATAATTATATCTTTTACTGGTTATGTAATGTTTCTCAAGTATCTTAAGAGTAAATATATTTTACAATTCGTTGTTTTTTTTTTTCGGTTAAAAGGATCTCTCAACAAAAATGGCAATGCTTACATCCAGAAGGCTGTTAAAAGTCATTGCTATTGGAACAGTCGGACTGGGTACTCTGGCATCTCTTAGAACAAATGAGTATGATATCAGTGCCATTGGTATTGTACGCTTAGGCCGTGCTGCACTGACAGTGCTTGACATAGGCCGTTATTATAAGAGAGAATTATATGATAGTAAATTGGATAAAACATCACCGGAGTACCTGCAGCTGAAATCAAACGCTCACAAGTACGGGGCGCAGAAGCTCCTAGAGCTTTGTTGCGCCAATAAAGGGGTGTACATCAAAGTAGGTCAGCATGTGGGTGCGCTAGACTATCTGTTGCCCCAGGAATATGTTCACACCATGCGCGTACTACATAGTGCAGCACCTCAGTCCTCGTTTAATGACGTACTTACCGTTATTAAGGAGGATTTTAAGAGGTCTCCGTACGAGATATTTCAGAGCATCGACCCGGAACCTCTGGGTACTGCTAGTCTTGCACAGGTGCACAGAGCCGTGCTGAAAAATGGCGATGTGGTGGCTGTGAAGGTACAGCATCGCGCAGTCAAGAGCAACTCTTATGTTGACATTAAGACCATGTCGACTTTGGTGAGCATTACATCACTGATATTTCCGGATTTCAAGTTCAACTGGCTAGTCAAAGAAACAAAGAGGAACATCCCTCGGGAGTTGAACTTTACTCTGGAGGGTGAGAATGCCGAAAAGGTACAGAGGCTTTTCAAGAACTATCACTGGCTAAAAGTGCCTAAAATATACTGGGATTTGTCATCATCTCGCGTGCTCACAATGGAGTTCCTGGAGGGCGGACAGGTGAATGATCTAAAGTACATGCGTGACCATCAGCTGAATCCATACGAGATCACCAGCAAGCTCGGTCGTCTGTATAGCCACATGATCTTCATTGAAGGTTTCGTCCACTCGGATCCACATCCCGGTAACATCCTGGTACGCAATCGCGATTCCCAGGCGGAAATCATTCTGCTGGATCATGGTCTCTACGCCGATCTGTCCGATCAATTCCGCTGGGACTATTCAAAGCTATGGCTGGCGATCCTTGATAGCGATCGGGTAGCTATGAAGAAATACTGTGGTCGTCTCGGCGTTGAAGATTACTATGGTTTGCTGTCAGTTATGGTGTCGGGCAGGACTTGGGAAACAATTATATCAGGTGTGCGTAAAACTCGCTACGACGTCAGCGAAAAGGAGATGTTTCAGCAGAATGTCCCAAACTTGCTGCCGCAGATCAGCAATGTGCTGGACCGTGTCAACCGGCAAATGCTGCTGATTCTTAAAACCAATGATCTCATGCGTAGTATCGAGCATTCGCTGCAAACTCAATCCAGAATGACGGCCATAATGGAAATGTCCAAGTGTTGCGTGCGTTCTGTATATGGCGAGAAGCTTCGACAATGCTCGAGTGCATGGGATAAGTGCTGGGTGTCGTTAGCTGAACGCTGGGCGCTTTTTAAATTATCATTCTACTATATGTACCTAGGCCTGATACACTTCGATCTAAACAACTCGGTCAATTCTCTATGGACAAAGGACTTTTATCCTTTTTAACAAAAGCTTGTCTTTAGTCTATCAATTGGATACGCTTCTTATAAATGTATATATTTAAACTTTTTTTTTTTGTTTAAGATAAGTCTAGATATCTTTTTGTTTACTGATGTAAACAATTCGAATTTTGTACATAGTAACTTATAAAAAATGTAAATTTTACACGATATCTTTTACGGTTTACCTTTTAGTTAGTCATTAAAGTTGGAAAAAGATATAACAAATTTAAATTTTTTGTAATAAATAAATCTTTGTTGAAAGAATCGCGCTGTTTATTATATACATATATAATTAAAATAGAAACAAAGATATTTTAGTTACAAATTAGTTTGTTCTAAGAACTTTGCTTTCTTTGACTAATTGAAGCTGCTCACGATACCGCAAGTATTCCGCTTCTCTATCCTTCAGAAACTGCCTATACTCTTCTGGATCTATTTCACGTACGATCTCAATGCCACATGTACGAGCAATGCCGACAATCATTTGACACATTTGTTCTAAATTCAACAATGCATTGGGTGGATCCTCCAACTTAATTTTGGCGATCTCATATAAATGTTTAAGAGTTATTTTGCCAGCTACTTCATCTACAAAAAAATATTCATGAATCTTTTTTTATTATCTTCTCATGTATTCATGCTATATTATTTTTGCATTTTCTCCATTGAAATATCAAGGGACTACAATTATTTACATTCCAAGGGCAAAACAATAAATTAAGGACCAACACGATTGTCACCTCTCTGATTTTCAGCTGAAGACTAGTTTTTTGATCAAATTTGTAGTTAATTACTCAAAATCTTAGATTTTCTAGAAAAAGTTAAATTTGACTTTTTTTTAGAAAATATATTATAAAACTAGAAATGTTGATAATAGCAATTAATCTTTGCCACAAGGATCAAATCTAATAATGCTCTTTTTCATTTTTAGAGAATACAAGAAAATTGAAGTTTTGACAATTTCGACAGTCAATCTCCAGTGGAACACTAATAAAAAGATAGCAATTGTGACTGAGAATTTAAGTTTATCAAGTTGAAAGGAAGGATTATTACTCGTACCTTTCTTTATTCTTCCTTTCTGTATTCCTGCAGCCTGTTTCAAGTAGTATATTGTCGGTGGTTTATGAATTACTAGATTATATGATCTGTCTGAGTTCACTTTCACGCGACATGGTAGAGGAATGCCTTCCTTGATATTGCCTGTCCTTTTGTTGAAATCTTTGCAGAATTTGTCGATATTGATGTTCCTCTGGAATTAAAATCATCCATCCACATTAAACGCTGTTGAAAGCGAATAGATCTTGCAAATCTAGCATAATTATTGTCAGAAAAGATTAGAATTCAGGAGATGATAATAAATTTCTACAACAAAAGAATTAATAGAGAGAAAGAGTAGAAAGAAATCAAATACATTCTATTGAAGTTCAGCGT